GATGTCCTTGAGGTGGAAGGTACCGCGGGACGGGGCGGGGACACGGCGCTCGCGGGTTCCTGCGGGGCCGCGGGGGGCGAGCGCGGCGTTGACGTCAACGCCCACCAGACGGTCGTCGTAGTCGTCGTTGTTTCGTCTTAAATTGTGTTTTATAATATCTAATAAATTTTTGTCAATATTTTGTGGGATACCTGTAAAATGAGTAATCGGTTTAATTATATTTTGTATTGTCCTCCCCCAGCTCATTTGAAACGGTGATAATCCAGATGAACAGACGTGTGGTTGCGGCGGCGCGCCACACGAGGGTGCAGAGCAGCAGCGCGCCCGGCGCCCGGCCCCGTGACGTCATGTCGATCGCTCGACCGCCACGCGACTGTCTCGTTGTACGAAATAAACTTCTTATGACGAAATAAATTTAAATGGAATTCGAGTAATAAAATCGGCGCAGCACCGGCGATAGGAAATAAACCTCGTGTAAAAAACGCGATTCCATAAAATGCCATTGCACTGTACTCGATTCTAAAGACCATAAGGAACGAGAGAGAGAGAGAAAAAAATTATTCGGAGTAGAGATGGTTTATTTATCAATCTAGGTCGACGGCCGGCAGGGGCTCGAGGTGGGCGCGGGGGGCGCGCGGCTCGCGGGGGGAGTCCCGGTCGGACTCGGGGTCGGAGTCGCGCATGTACTGGGCGCGCGGCCGCGGCAGCCGGAACTGCGGCACCGCGCCCTCGCCCAGGTTCACGATGGACACCTCGCCCGGCTTCTCCTCCTTGACGAGGTGCGCCCGCCGACCGCTGCGCCGCGCCGCCGCCACCTGCAACGTGCGCACAACAAAGCTGCATGCCGCGGGGAGCCGACGTCCGGCCGCAGAGGACCGCGTCACTCGTCGTGCGATCTCACCTTGAGCAGGCTGTACTTGACCGTGGTGTCGGCGGCGCCGTCGTGGCGGCGAGACTCTCCGAGCTCGTAGGGCGGCGTCGGGTCGTCCGAGACCTCGGTATGGACGTCCGTGACCGCAGGATTTGTCAAAATATGTCTATCGTTTTGTCTGCGCGCCTTATCGTCGTCGTACAGGATCTTGTCGGCGCCCGCCGTGGCCAGCTTCCTCCGCTCGCTCGGCGCTACGTACTTGGACCTTTGGTCGTACATCGGGTTACGTCGGAGGTCTCTCAGGTCAGTCGTAGTGCGGGTGACGTCGCGTCTCGTCACCTTCGTGTAGAAGTCGACGGGCGTCTCGAGCGTGCTCGACGTGCTAGATCTGACCGCTTCGGTGGGCGGCTCGCCGTCGTCTGATTCGGCGTGGTAGCGGTAGGGCCGCTCCGTGTTCGCCTCCAGCATGTAGTCGTAGTTGTCCTTCATCAGCTGCCGGCGCAGGCTGTCCACCGCCTCCGAAGAATTGTATTCTTCCGCTTTGAACTCTGAAATGTTATAAATTACGTGATTATTTTATAGGATGCTCTGTGCGCTAAACGCAATTTAACGTAAAATTAGCAACGCTTTATTCGGTAAGAACAATGAGTTAATCTTGGAATATGTTAGTATTAATACAAACGTGAACATAAGTACGAGCTCACGTTCCACAGGCGTGCCGAGCGCCGCAGAGGATACCGCGACTGCGACAGCGGCCAGTGCAGGCCACACCTTCTGTAACACAGGGCGGTCGCTAGTTAGTACAATCGTTCTCTAGGAACTTGGCCACCATTTAGTACATTGTGAAATACTCGTATGTAGAGTTGACAAGTAATTACTTACCATCCACATGTCCATGTCTCCGGCGGAGAATAAGGTTTCCCAAGTGTAGTTTCACCCGCCTGTCGCGCCTTCTGCTGCAGTTCACTTCCCTCATGCTCGTACAAAATAAATAATTTTAAAGTATTTTATTAGAAATCATAAAACATATGAAAGAACTGCCACCGCACTTGCAATCGTGATGTAACACTACATGAAGTTTAAACGTTGCTTGATAAAAACAAAATAAAAGTACTTTTTTTTTCTTTATGAATAAATCTTGAGTATTTAATTTCATGATTCAACCGCCAGCTTTTCATCACGCGCTTGCCGCTCCTCCCGCCCGATGGACGCCTTCCTCATGAAAGTGTTCTCTTTTGCCTAGTTAGAAATGTGACATTTGTAGGAGGGAGGACATCTCGCGATGTATGATACTTCATCAATATACAAAAACATTAGAGATATAGAACACGTGGATAACTTATATACATTCTCTATTTTAAACACCCAAGTAGCGATTAATCAAAAATAAGTCAATTTATAAAATGCAGTTGACCCATTTCTCCTCCATTGCGCTGTTTGCGGAGCTGCAATAGAGAAATAGGATTGTATATTTTCAAACATTACCTACTCGCAATATTCACATTACTTTATCGATAATTTTAATAATTATATAACACAATAAAGGGTATTTATTACTTATATCTCAACTATTATGAAGAAAGAACGTCACTCAGTAAATATTGATTAATAAAAAAATGTATATGCAAAAATATAATTGTTTTCTTTTTTGAAGAAAAATGATATGAAGTTTGTAATTACAAACATCCTAAATAAGACTTCTTGCAGCACTTCCTGCAGCAGGGGTACTTGGGCTTGTTCTTGTGCTCCTTGCGGTGCGCATCCACCGCGTCTCCCTCCTCCTTCCGCCTCGTCTTCTTCTTCTTGATCCGCTTGCCGTACCCGAAGCGCGGGCACTTCTCCGTCACCACCTCCAGCAGGTGCGCCCGCTTCTTCTCTAGGTACTCCTTTAGCCGCTTCTTCTCCTCCTGGCGCTTCACCATCCATTCGAACAACTTCTTCTCCAGCTTGTGCCGATTGTCCATTATCATCTTGCCCTGTTCCGGTTCGATATCTTTATTTTCGTAAACGTCTTTGTAAATGAATATTTCATCCAATTCGTCGGGGCCACGTTTCTTCTTTTTCTTGAAATCGAACCGCCGTAGGCTCGTTGCGTTGGTGCTGTTGTTTGTTGCTGGCGCGTCCACCTGCTCTCCGCCGGTGTCCTTGCCCGCCGTCCCCTCGCCGGCCGCCTGCATGTGTAGCTTGAGCGCTGCCAGGTACTGCTCCCCCGCACCCCCGCCCTCCTTCTGCAAGGCCCGCAGACCATCGTCGATGGCTGCATTGATTGCTTTATGTAATTTGCTTTTCTCTGCTTCCAGATCTTTGATTCTTTCTTTATTATTTATCTGTTCAGTGTATATTGAATGCATTAAGGCGCATGTTGCAAAGATAACTAAATTATAAGAAGGAATGTTCATTTCAACAGAATTTATAAATAATGTTAACGTTTAATTCTGCATTCAAAGTAACTGAACGTGCGTTGGAATGGAATTGTATGATTACCTTTTTGTAACAACATAAAATTATTTACGATTAACTCATAAATTCTTGTTATTTATCAGAGAAAATAAAAATAAAATGTGTCGAAGAGTTTTGTTTTTTGCCACCGTTTCTGGTGTGCTTTAACAGATGGCTGTATCGAGACATCGTTGAATTGCGATGTTTAGAGACATGTCTCGTCACACACATACCTTCAGCGGGACGAGTTGCACTTGCATTGGTATCGTTTGCGTTTTGTAGTTTTCATACGTGTCATTTTGTTAGTCGAATTCTCCTTATTTCGGACAAAGTTGCGTTCCTACGCGGAGAGTCAAACAGGAAGGCATTGCAAACTGTTTAACCTCGTTCTACTATATTAAATTATTCGAAGGTGGCCATGTAATCATAAATACCTTGAATTAAAATTTAATATCGTTTTATTACTTTGTAGGATGGCATGTTCCGATACGGGAATTGATTGATTGATGTGCACACATAACAAACCACTTGCTCGTTAGCAATCTAAATCTTATTTATATAACAATCAGGAGCTGATAGCTGCAGCCGGCAATCCACAAACAATATTACTTTTCAATTTTGCCACGAACTCACCATACAAATAATGAAATTAGGTTAAAGAAGGTAATTCATCACGAGATATCAACTCATAATTGTCAAATATGTTGAAGGTTTTTTTTTGATGATAAACTCAGGATATTGATAGTTGATAGTATTAATCAATTCTTTCCGTCACATTTTCGATCTTGATGATAACATTTTTTAGTATAAGTAAAAACACGTGACTAAGTTACTTATCTGAAAAAATAAGTAAGCTTCTCATCGAAAACTCAGAGGAGTAGGCAGAGACTGTCGTTTTTAGTGTGACACAGCCACATGTGTCAGCATCGGCACAGCTTTCGCGATACTCCTGACACAACCCGACCTAATACAAACATTACGCGAACATGTCAGTGCCGGTGTTCGTTACTTTTAATTTGTAAGCAATCTGCTCTGCCATGTATAGGATGTTGCCTTGCTACAAGTAAGTACACAATGTCTCCTATAAATGTTACTATTCACAGAATGCAACAGAGATTCACTTTGCTACTTATTTCACTAACACGAATATAAATAATGATTAATTAGTTTATTATATCTACTGATAACGCAATTTTAATCGCATTTAATCTTTACCTACTGTTACGATTTTAATCCAATCCAGTCGATTGGATTAAAATCAAATTAGGTTTTCCCAGCTTTGTACGAAAACAATGTTATTTTTCTCCTATCTGGCGAAAAGAAATAAGATATTATTTTGACATATGTACATACAAACACATTAGCATGTGGCTGATACATTTAAATACCTAACATGCAAAAAACATTTCGAATTACATTTTTTTTGGGTCAAACATGTTTTTTGTTTTGTTCACAATTTTACCGGGCTTTTGGGACATAGATTAAGACTGACACACTCTCTTTTAACAAAGGAATCCCTTGTTAGTTACAAGGGCTACTTTTCGATGTAAAAAAATATCTTTATCTTAAATAAACAATTTTAAAATTATTAATAGAAATGAAAACTAAGTTCAATATTATATTATTTTATATTTTTATATTAATATTATTATTTACCATTTCATGATCAATAACTTTATCTTTCTATTTAATATTGATCCGAAGTGAAACGTCCTACAAATAATTAGAATATAAAAATCAGGCGTTTCAATAATCACGGTGATAAGATAATATCGTTCAATAAAAGAGGTAATAAAGAGTTCGGAGGTCGCATTGTTCCGCTCGTCGACACAATGAAGCTGTTCTTGGTTGTGTTGTGCGGAGTGGCGGCCCTGGCGTCGCGAGCGGTGGCCGAGGAGCCTATCCTGCTGCACTACCACGACAACGCGGGAGTGCCGCTGGCTGAGCTAATCCGCCAGTCTGAGGAGGCGGCTGATTTCGACGGCTCGCGCATCGCCGGCGGCTCCCTGGCCAACCTCGGCCAGTACCCGTACCTGGTGACTGCACATTCCTTGTAATGCGAACTCGCCGGCTGTCGCTCAGGCCACGGCCGCGGCCTTCGTTAACTTTCAGTGCCGATACATTGCTCATTCTGCAAGAAGGGGAATGGCTTGTAAAGCACAATATACGCGAAACAACTTATATTTAAAATTAATATTGTCAATAAATACAAATTCTAACATGCCTATAAGTATAGATGACGATGATGCGACAGTGTATGACAGCATCGCGTCACGTGAACAACTGCTTGCTTAAGACTTGTGTTCATGTGTGTGTGTCATCAGGGCGGGCTCGTGGTCACGCTGAACGACGGGCGCACCTCCGTATGCGGTTCCACCTTGCTAACCAACACGCGACTGGTGACGGCGGCGCACTGTTGGTTCGACGGGCGCAGTAACGCGCGCCAGCTGACCGTCGTGTTGGGCTCTGCGCGGCTCTTCTCAGGCGGCACCCGAGTCAACTCTAACAACGTCCAGATTCACGCCAGCTACAACTCCGCCAACCTCCGCAACGACGTCGCCATCATCACCACCTCGCACATCAGCTACAGCAGTGAGTGCACTCCGCTCCATGCAACTGCACGCTCACACTCTCTACGACCGGCTGCAGCAGCTGCACTTATACTATTACTATTGTTATAAATACAACACGCATATTATACTGTTGAACTGTTTGCAGACAACATCCGCAACATCGGGCTGGCTTCAGGCAGCAATCAGTTTGCCGGCACGTGGGCGTGGGCAGCCGGCTTCGGCAGGACAGGGAACAGTGGGCATCTCTGACAATACTACACATATCGTGATTTCACTATCTAACATACAAACCAATTATTGCTAATTACTATGTACTTATGTAAAAGTGCATAGGTAGTAGAATTGTGAGATTGAGTGCGTGTCATGATCATGACAAATTTCAGTCAGCAGATAGTTTGCAAAACCAAGGCGAGCGTTTGTTGTGTTGGCGGATACGAAAAAGTATAATATATGTGCGTGTTTGTATAGATGCGGTGATCGGCAACAACCAGGCGCTGTCGCACGTCCAGTTGCAGGTGATCACGAACGCAGTATGCGCGCAGACGTACGGCACTAACAGCATCATCGCCTCCACGCTGTGTACGAGTGGCGCTGGCAGCCGCGGCGTCTGCCCTGGCGACTCCGGCGGCCCCCTCGTCGCCAACAACCAGCTCGTTAGTACCTCCCGCTTTTTTTTTTATTTATTTGTTTAATTTTTTTTGTCTCTCTCCCTCTCTCTCTCTGCCTGAAGACATCATAACTTGTTTACAACGTAATAATATGCTCTCTGTCCGTAGATTGGAGTGACATCATTCACGGCGCAGCGAGGCTGCCAGGCGGGTCTGCCATCCGGCTTCGCGAGGGTCACCGCCTTCCACTCTTGGATTACCAGCCGCATATAAGCCCACTGCTTTCGACGATTGTTTTATAGTTATAAATAAATGTTATTTATTTTAATTCCTATACTTTTTTTATCTTTATACCTCACCAAGATTCATGCACATTGTAAATACAGGAAAAGCACCCTATTCCGTAAAACGGACAATGCTGTTTTTTTTTTTTTTAAGTTTTGATATACCATATTTATTACATTACAACATTTAAAATAGTAATTTGTAAAAATTGCTAAATCACAATCACTGTAATAACGCGCGACAATAAATTATGAACAGTTTAGTGGTTTAAGATCTTTATTTCTCAAAGAATTTACAAAATTCACTTACGAGAAACAATTTTACAAGAACATGAAAATTTTACCAGTAGTCAGACATTACATTTTACTTTTTACTAACAAATTTCAGAAGCAGCACCCCATACCTCTATTAGATATTCTAGATGTGGTTTAACTAATGAGTTATATACAATATGTCGTATTTTTGCTGGAATACTTTTTTTTTTTTTTTTTTACTCTTCGTAAGACCCCAATAAGGCTAATAATTTTTGTGCGTACATGGTTAATATGTGTTTTCAACGGTTACGTCAAATAATGTTAACACTATCTTAAAGGACATTCGCTTTTAACGCACAAGCTGTCGCAAGCGCTGTCTGCCGGACCCCTCTCCCACCCACCCTCTCCCGCTCGCCCGCTGCCGCCGTCTTACTTTTTTTTTTTTTTTTTTAGTCGTAGCGATTACGCACAGCGTGACGTCGTATAATACGTTGCCGTGCTCCGCGCCGTCGTCGGTTGTTCATTGTGATAGTAAATGAAGAAAGAAGATGATTTACAAAATAGAAAAATATGTTTGATGTGTCGGCGCGCGCGAAGAGCTGAAGCGCAATTGAAGGTCGTGTGAGGTCGCGCATCTGGATCTGAAGATTGTAGATGAAGACCGTTCTTTTGGGACTTGATACCAGTCTAAGGGACGTCATCTTTTTTTTTTTTTGTTAACGCGGGGAATGCGTTTATGCACTTCGCCGTCCGTGCTGCGGGGGCAGCAGGGACGGTTTCGTGTGGGACTCCCGGCCTGGGAACAAGACCGGACTACCCAGTAAACCCCGCGGTGTTCTCCTACGCCCAACCGGACCGTGGCATCTACGTTAG